ACAAGCTTGGATTCGGCAAAATGGGCGAGTCGCAGAGGCGGCAGAGGCGCCCTGTTTGCGGGTGAGGCATGGGGGTTCTTGCAAGCAAGGAGTGACAAGAGAGGCAATAAAAGGTCGTGGCGCCGGCCGTGCGCCGACTGGTCTTGGAGGACCGGTGGAAGGGCCGCATTTCAAGGGCACCACCATCCTCAAGGGGGCACACCGATTTGCCCCGCATCTGCGCGTTCTCGCCCGACGGCGAGCGCGTCGTGAGACGAGCTACGACGGGACGGCGCGGCTCTGGGACGCGAAGACGGGCGCGCTGCTGACGACGCTCACAGGGCACACCAATAGCGTCGTCAAATTCTCGCCCGATGGCAAGCGCGTCGTGACGGCGAGCTGGGACAAGAAAGCTCTGGGACGCCGAGACGGGCGCGCTGCAGACGACGCTCGAGGGGCACACCGACAGCCTAGGTGGCCTTGAGCCAACGCGTGCCCGCGACCGTGTGTGTTGGCTCAAACTGTGCGACAGTGACGGTGATGGCTCCGGGCAGCTGTGCGCCTGCGGCGGGGACTGTCCCGAACTTTAGTGTGGCCGCGGCGGCCCCTGAGCAGCCGTCTGCTCACGTCTACGGCGGTGGTTCCCCCTCATATCCACCCCCGTGACGGCTTCCGAGCGGTCGTGCACCCACGGCGGCGGTGGCTTCGAGATGCGCCCACGACTGTCACGGCTCCGACTTGCTGCGCGCATTCGACGACGGCGGTCTTGAGCTGCCGTGCGCCCGTGACCGCATTGGCTCGGAAGCGGCCGTGCGTCCGCGGCGGCGCTGGTTTCGAGCAGTCGTGTGCCCGCGACGGTGATGGTCCCGAGCTGCCACGTGCCCGTGGCGGAGGTGGCTCCGAGCAGCTGCGCACCCACGACGTCCGGACTATGGTCTCCCCTTTTATATTTTGCATCCCTACTGACCACTACATGTTTAGAGACGGGGCGTGGAGCGGGACTCGGTGACACTGCTCTTCCTGGACACGTTTTAAACATTATTGGGTCGCACCCTTGAAGTCAGGCGATCTACTTCAGAGCTGCAAGTGCCAGAGGACCGGACCCAGCCCTGGGCCAACTTCAGTCTCCACCCTCTGCTTGAGCACCGGCACGCCAACTCGCGCCATCGCAACCCGCAGGCCGCTCCGAGGCATGGCCTTCCGGCCTGGAAGCCTGACTTGGTTTCGTTCTTGATATAGACCCCTCTGGACTAGAGCCCCACCAAGGGTGGATTCTAAGCAAGGCGAAGGCTATTCGACGGCATCGCGCGCACTGAAGAAGGGTCATGTCCGCGGGCCTTGCAAGCATGCCCCTTGGGGCCAAGTTGGGCCCATGTCGTCCGACGGCACCGGCGGTGGCGGCGGCCGGGGACTTGCGTGCCACTGTGTCTCCGTTTTCGAACCGTCGAATACGAAAGGGAGCGCAGCGAAGCGCAGCACAGCGGAGCGACCGGAGTCTTGAGAGCGGCGCCTCCCACGGTGACTCCTTGGGTCCTCTTGGATCAAGTGGTTTTCTTACCCCCTCGCACGGTGAGTTGCCGCGTAGGATTGAGAGTCGTACCCTACATAGGGTCATGGGGCCCGACGTAGGGTCCCACTTAGGGTACCGTGGGACGACGGGGTGGAAAGCCGGCGCGCGTCGCCGCAAAAAGGGCCGCCCAACCTTGAGCCAAAGTCCACGTCGGCGGCCTTGTGAGCACCACTTCACATCTTTACGTCGGCGTCGACGGCCTCGGGCTCGGCGGCTCGTCGTCTTCGTCGTCGTCGGATGGCCCACCGAGCCCGTGGTGTCGCCAAAATCTCACAAAGCCTTCATTAGTATCCATGGGGCCCTACAGGCCGCGTAGGGTCCAGCCTATCCTACGTACATAAGGTCGTAGGGCCCTACGTAGGGCCCTACGCGGCAACCCAGCTTCCATATTGGCCCTATGTGTCGTGTAGGGTCCAGCCCCACGTAGGGTCGTAGGGCCCGGGCCCTACGCGGCAACTCCGCTCTCACCCGCAGTCCCGAAGGAAGAGCTGGGTCCTGGCAGGGGCACCTCGACGAGCCGTGGCCGCTCGCAAGGCTGTGGTCTGTCCATGCAGTTGCGCAGCTCGAGAGGAGTGAATCCTCCGGGTTTTCTCTCCAGAACGACTTGCGAAAAACGTCGAGGCGACTGCTTTTGAGCCCGAGCTCGGTCCAGGCGATTGTACATCTCCAGGGTCGAAGGATTTGCGGATGAGACTGGTCGAGGTCCATTCCTTGGGTTTCAGTCGCCCTTGGATCAAGTGGTTTTCTTTACCCCAAGGCGAGGGTCCTACTAGAGCGTCGACTTCATCCTCCATCGAAGCAAACGGCCTTTGGACGCACGCCCCAAAGGCGCCTCGCCCGCCACGTGCCCATCAGGAACAAACGCCGGGCACATCAGCAAGGAGCTTTATGCAAGGAACCAACCTCATCGTTTGACCTCGCATTTTACAGATGGACCTCGCACTTACGCTACTTTCTCGCAATCACCGAAGCGGCTGAAGCGCGAAACGGACGACCCTCTGCGTCCATGGCAAGGCGGCGCTCGTGCAGGATGCTTATGTGAGCGGGGGCCGTTGGGTTTCGCCGGTGGGGGGCCGAGGGAGGGTCGTGCGTCGTGAAGGCGGAATCATCGGCGTCGTGAGGGCAGCGTCGCGGCATCGTCGGCGAGGGAGGACCTGCGGGCTGCTCGATGCGGTTTGTTGCGCATGGCACCGCCGGCGCCGTGGAGATCTTGTGCACGACACTGCCGGCGGCGCGCGCCCGTCTGCGCATCGACGGCGACCCTCCGTCGTCGAGACATCGCCCCCGAGCACGAGGCAACGCGGTGCTTCCTCCGCGACGTCGAGCCGAGCGGCTGCAATGCCAGTGCGCCCACTCGGCATGGTCGGCCCACTCGGCATGGTCGGCCCGGGCGAAAACTCAATCGTCGCCACGTCGAGGAGTTCTGGCCAACACCGTCGTTGCCGAGCCCTGTCCGCCGGTGACGAGGACGTGCTGCGCATCGACGGGCACGGCCGCACAGTAACAGCTGTGCCCATCGACGGCCCCGGCGCGAAGGACATGGTCCGGACGTCGAGCATCTCCGTATTGTTCAAAGCTTGTCCTAAATCCGAAAAGGCCACCATGATGCGGTGCTCCTCGAGCGCGACGGCGGCGCATCCATGGCGTGGAGTGGCCATGGTGGGCCCCGGCGCAAAGGCCATCGTGTCAAGGCTGAAGATCTCGGTCGTCGACACTAGAAACATCGGGACCGCCAACGACGACGATCCTGCGAGCGTCGAGTGCGACAGCGGCACAGCCGCGTCGTGGCGATTGCATGTCCGGTCCCGGTGTGGACGTGAGCGTCAAGAGGTTGAAAATCTCCGTCGTGTTCAAAGGAGCACCATCGTAGCTACGATCTACGTCAATCTGGACGGCTGCGCAGCACGATCGTGCCGTGAGCATGTTCGGCCCGGCTATAAACGTCATCGTCTGCATGTCGAGCAGTTCCGCCGTGTTCAAATTAGTACCGTTTAAGTCACCGCCAAACACGACGACGCGCCCGCCGGCAAACACGATAGCACATGCCGAACGTCGCGACCCCATCTCCGGCCCACGGCCGGAACGTCGCCAAGTCGGTCCACGGCCGCGCGCCAAACACGGCCGTCTCGAGGCCAAAGTAGTCTTTCATCATGGATTATTGCGCGGCCTCACCAAAATGCCCGGATCGTCTTCTGCATGTGCGCGCCATCGAGGTCGCGGAGGTGGATTAGTCGGAACCGCTCGCCTTTAAAGGTCGATGAAGATGGACCCATCTAAAGGGTCCGCCTGCAGCATCGCGTCGCAGCGAACCGAACATGCGCCCGAGCATCGAGTCCTCGACCTTTGTGAGGACGGCCCTCGAGGTCTCGAAGCGCGCGCCGCCCACGTTGAGCTTGACCATCTCGCCGGGCGGCGGGGCCGCTTCTTTAATGCGCGCCTTTTCCTCCTCGTCGCGCGCGACATTTTCTTCGATTGCCCGTGCAAAGACCGCGCGGTCGTCCTCGAGCGCTCGGCGGTCCGTCGCGAGCTGGGCCTAGGAGGGTGCATCCAGAGGCGTCATTCCGGAGTTTACCATCTCGGCACCGACGGCCTGCTCGAGGGCGCATCCAAGTGCGCCGTCGTCGTGCGCCGCACGGCCTCTAGAGCGGCAGCCACGGTCGTTATCGTCCCTGGAGTGGTGCGCGCGCCGACGGTCGCGACTCGCGCGCTCAAATGATCGGATCAAATCCTCACAGGCTTAGCGACATTTTGGAAACGCTTCTCCGCGGCCGGCGCCTCCTCGTCCCGGTGGGCGCCGCAGAGGCGGCCCCTTGCCCTGCTCGCCACGTGGCCTGTGGCATGGACCGAAGGAGATGAGAAGATGATACACCATCGTCGCCATCGATGGAAAGAGTCGTTGGAAGACGAGCCCCTGAAGAGGCGGCCCTCGCCGGTTCCGTGGAGCGGGCCCGGGGCGCCACCGGGCCCGGCGGCCGCCCGCGGCGTTTCGAGAGTTGGCCCTCGCTGGCAAGTCGACGCCGCGTGGGAGTTCGAGACTCAGTTCGTGACTGCTCACACGGCGCGCCAGTGTTGATATCACATCATTACGCGGCGCCCCTCGGCGTCGGCCGGGCGCCGCGCGGGCTCGATCATGCGGCCCCTCGGGGGCGATGCGACGCGGCAAGGCCGCTCGCGTGCGTGTTGCGAAGCAAGAGACCCCTTCCTGGGCTGTAGTAGTGTACTAGTAGCAGCCTGCGCACGTGCGGAGCCAAGCGCCAGCGCGGCGCGCGTCCGAGCCCGGCGCGAGGTTGCAAAAGTGGCGCCCGCGACGTGCGGCGGCGACGTGCGGCGCCGGGCGCGCGATCAAAAAAAGATAGAAAACACCTTGCGCGGCCAAAAAGGAAAATGAGGTGTTTAGGGACCGACGCACCCGTCATTCGTATCAATCGCTAATGCGTCGAAATTTAAAAAAGGGGCTTTTCGGGAATCGAACCCGAGACCCCTCGTACCCAAAACGAGGATCATACCACTAGACCAAAAGCCCTCGTTCGCTTCTTAAGCTATCAAGCGAATCATCGCGACTACCTACTTTTCTGATTAGATGTATTGATGCTATGATAATCCCGGTCGCTAAATGACTGCGCACTGTGTAATTCAATCATGTGACCTGGATCGGGTCCGAACATTTTCTAGGGGTGTTGGGGACTTAGTATATAAACCCCATTTTGAGAAGAATATTCGCTAAAATAAAAGGTTCTGGGCCCGGCTCAGGAGGGGTGCAGGATTTTATTAGACCTATGATAGGCCGATTTCAGCGGGCCGCTCGTCCGGGGCACTCAAGAGGGGGTGGTGTAGTGGGGGTGGTCCTCAAACGCCGTGCGCTGATGGCCCAGAGGCGCGCGCGAGACGTGGAAGGCACGCCGAGCCGCAGCGACCTGATGCGGCCGCGTCTGGAGGCCGCTAGAGAGTCGATGGACTGTGAGGAGGAGGACGACGACCTCGAGCGACCGAGCGCGTGCGACGTCGACGCGGCGTGGCACGCGGCCAAGGGCCTCGCGTTCGTGCCCGTCGGCTGTGCAATGCAGATCGAGGACGGCGAACTCGTGCACAAGTACAACATGAAGGCGCACTGGCGCCGCCTCCACGACTCG